CTTATTTTTTGGTAATTTATCTGGTCTTATGATTGTAAGTTTCCTGTATGCATGCAACACCCACAGCCAATGTCTATTCTCCCAGCTCCTGACACTCCACAGGAAGTCCCTCCTGGCCATCTGATAGGCTCCCAAACTCCAAATGCCTCATCCTAACTGCTCCTCTGCACCTGCTCCATTCAGAAAATGTCTAAGCATTTCTCTCTCTCATTTTACCTTAGCACATGCCTCATCCCTCAGCAGACCCACTTGCACCCAGGCCCCAGCCAGGCTGTCATCTCTCTGGCTGGACTAATGTGGAAGCCCCTACCTGGCTTCCCTCTTCCCACTGTGGGCTGCTTCTCTAGTCTAATCTGAATATAAGGGTTATGGTGAGCCCTGTCCTGTCATTCATATGACCCTTCCTCTCAGAACTTTTTGGTGGTTTCCCTTCTCACTGAGACTAAGGGCAAAATCCTTAGAACAGCCCACAGGCCCTGTTGGATATGGCCCCAGCTACCTATCTACACTGCCTGCCAGATTCTGTTCCTTGCTGATTGAACTCGCTGTTCCCTGGGCCTGGAGTGCTGTTGTCTCCTTACTTCATGCCGTTGCCCAGGTGTGACCTTATCAATGAGATTGTTCCCATCACACAATGTAAAATAGATACCCCATGTCCCTGCCACCCTCTGTCTTTCTAACTTTGCTTTATCTCCCTCTATAGCACTTACTGTGATCTGCATGGATTTATTGTTTTTTGCTATTGTTCTTTGGCTATTGGTTGCTTTAAACTCCCAGAAGCTGGCACTTGGTCTTTTCATACACTCCTCTGTCCTGGTGTCCAGAATAAGCCTAGTGCTAAATAAATGTTGGATGGGTGAATTTGGAAAGCATGACTGCTTTATCATTAAACTTCTACCAACACCTGGTATCTATAGCAGACTCTGATGTAGCATTGGTCTTTGCTCTGGTTCCTGGGGTACTAGGGTCTATGTTCTCTAATTAATGAAAGGAGACCCTTCCCATGGGAAGCAGTTTCCTGTGTCCTGTCAGAATGCCGGAGGGAAGTACTAGTGGAGAGGCGTGCCTGGGAGGCAGAGATCTCCTGACACCTGGATCATTCAATGGGGAGATAATCACCCTTTTCAACAACCGCAAGATCCATTTCTAGTCTAGGATCTGTGCATGGCTGTGCTGAGATCAAAACCCTGTGCTTCCTGGGGTTCTGCTGACTCAGTGTGGGAGATGTCTAATGTCATCCGATACATTTAGGTGCCACAAAATGGCAAGTGATGTGCTATTCTGCTTCAGGAGAGCTTATGAGGCAAAGGCAGATATCTAGAAATATTTATATAAATATAAGTAAATAATGTATGTAAGTAAATACAATATATTTGTATATATAAATATAACAGATCTATATTTGATAAATATAAGTATCTAAAAATATAAGTATCTAAAGGCTAAAAAAGAAAAGAAGAGGTTAGTCGCCGCATCCGCCGCCGCCGGCCGCCCTCAGCCAGCAGCTCGGCGCCATCTCGGGCCGGTGTCTCGGGCGGGCGCAGAGAGGCGGCTGGGGCGGCCGGCGGCCCAGCGCTATGGCCTGGTCCCGGCTCGGTCTTCGCCCGGTCTCGGCTCCGGCCTTCCCATGGGGCCAGCCCGCGGTGCCCAGGCGCTCTGAGGGAATTTCTGCGTGGTGTTGGGAAGAACAGTGTTGGGTCTGAGGCTCCTCGCTCACGGAATCCTGGAATCTAGGAGTGAACGTTGGGATCTCACACCATCAGATCTTTCCCAGGAGTAGTCGGTGGCCCTGCTTCCTGCCTGTGGTGACCCTGAGGTGACTTCTTGGAACACTTCAGCTGCTGCTTCAAGGACACGCTGGCCTGTATTCCGTCTCTTTGCGGTCCACCTCGCTGTGTGCCGAGGTGTGGAGAAACCATGAACAGCTCCCGCAGTGAGGAGTTCGACTGCTACTTCCTCGATGAGGGCTTCACAGCCAAGGACATCCTGGACCAGAAGATCAACGAGGTCTCATCCTCCGATGACAAGGACTCCTTCTATGTCGCAGACCTGGGGGACGTTCTCAAGAAGCATCTGCGCTGGCTGAAAGCTCTCCCTCGAGTCACCCCCTTCTATGCAGTCAAGTGCAATGACAGCAGAGCCATTATGAAGACCCTTGCCGCCATCGGCATGGGATTTGACTGTGTGAGCAAGACAGAGATCCAGCTGGTGCAAAGTCTCAGGGTGCCCCCAGAGAGGATCATCTATGCCAACCCCTGCAAGCAGGCGTCGCAGATCAAGTATGCAGCCAGCAGCGGGGTCCAGATGATGACCTTTGACAGCGAGGTCGAGCTGCTGAAAGTGGCCCGGGCGCACCCGAAGGCCAAGCTGGTCTCACGGATCGCCACCGACTACTCAAAGCTGTCTGTCGCCTCAGTGTGAAATTTGGTGCCACACTCAAAACCAGCAGACTCTTTTTGGAACGGGCAAAAGAGCTGAATATCGATGTCATCGGTGTTAGCTTCCACGTGGGGAGCGGCTGCACTGACGCTGAGACCTTTGTGCAGGCCGTGTCGGACGCGCGCTGCATCTTTGACATGGGGGCCGAGGTCGGCTTCAGCATGCATCTGCTGGACATCGGTGGGGACTTGCCTGGATCGGAGGACGTGAAGCTGAAATTTGAAGAGGTCACCAGTGTGATCAACCCCGCTCTGGACAAGCACTTCCTGGTGGACTCCGGGGTGTGCATCATCGCCGAGCCGGGCAGGTACTATGTGGCGTCAGCCTTCACCCTCACAGTGAACATCATCGCCAAGAAGCTGGTGTGGAGGGAGCAGGCCGGCTCTGACAATGAGGAAGAGGCAAGCGAGCAGACCTTCATGTACTAGGTGAACGATGGGGTCTACGGCTCATTCAACTGCAAAACGTAAGACCACACACACGTCCAGTATCTGGGGGCCCATGTGCGACGGCCTGGATCGCATCGCGGAGCGCTGTGACCTGCCGAGATGCACCTGGGCAACTGGATGCTCTTTGAGAACATGGGCGCCTACACTATCGCCACAGCTTCCACTTTCAACGGCTTCCAGAGGCCAGCCATCTATTACGTGATGTCGAGACCAGCGTGGCAGCTCATGCAGCGGATTCAGAATCATGGCTTCCTGCCCGTTGTGGAGGAGCAGGACGTCGGCGCCCTACCAGTGCCCTGCGCCTGCGAGAGCGAGATGAAGTGGCACCCGGCAGCGCGCGCCTCTGCCAGCATCAATGTGTAGACGCCACCTGTTGTAGGTGTGGGCCCAAGGGTAGCTTGGCTGCGGGTTGGGACCATTAACTTAACTACTGCTAGTTCTGGACGTTTGTAAGAGTACGGTCGACACAGGCACAGCCAGGAGACTAGGGGAAGAAGGGTTACACTTATCTGTGTTCCCATGGAAACTATTTGAATATTTGTTTTACATGTATTTTTATTCACTTTCACAAACACTACTAAAGAGGGCCCACAACTGCCAAGCAAGCGTTTGTAGCTTGTGCAGCGGCAGCATGGGCAGAAAGCTTAGTGTTGTGATCTGTTTTGGAAATAAAGCATCTTAAGAGAATTTTAGAATTGGGAGATATTTGCAGCCATCTCACCTGGCCCTGTGGCATCTGCTGGGAGCCTCATGGACCAGGCTTGTGCACCTGGGGGGTGCGGAGTGGATGATGACGAAGGTAACAAGGAAGACGGCTGCGGGGCGGGGGCTGAGCCTCAGTGCACAGAGTCTGTAGTCCTGTGACTGGGGCCAGAGTTGCCCTGGCCGTGCCCGCCCTGTGGGAGTCACATGGGCATCGTCTACAGCACGCTGTCTGGGTTCGAGGCATGTGGCAGTCCCCTGACTGTAATAAACTTGGTGTCAGCAGTGGAAAAAAAAAAAAAAAGAAGAAATAAAAAAGTTAATATGTAACTAATTCCCCAAAATTAGTGTAATCCTTATGTATTGCAAGCATATACTAATTTAAAAAAAAGCCAAGGACAAAAAGTTAGAGTTGGAACAAAGGAAAAGTTCTCTGTCTAAGCCCCCTTTCCTTTTCTCCAGTGATGCAATGTGGATTATGATGTATATTTGTTTCTTTGTAGTAGGCAATTGGAAGCTCTGTGTGTATAAGTTGCAATTAGAAAAGTAAGAGAATGCTTCTGATAATCTTTGCTTTGCAGCTTCCAATCTCAGCATTTTGACTGGTTTGGGGTTTGTGCTGTGTAGTTTTTCTCAATGGTTTTCCTGCATGCTCTGGCTTGCGGGACTTGGGCAAAACTGCATCCCGTCAAGGCTCACACTCGGACAGAGTGCTGCTTTGCACGGCACATGGAGTCTGAGTAGGTGCCCTGCATTATTGCAGATACAGAGACCACATAAAAGAATTGCTTTTTCACTGTTCACACTTCAAAAATATTAGCATAAATTGAGTGCAACAGTGTGTAACTGTAGTTCTAGCTGCTTGGGAGGCTGAGACAGGAGGGCTGCTTGAGCCCAGGAGTTCAAGACCAGCCCAGGCAAAATATTTTTCTAGGCATTCCTCTCATTTACCCTCAGCATGTAACATTTTTTTACAAGTGATGACAAATTTGCCCAAACATGTATTTTGTCATTGAATTTTAATGCAACCATTTCTCTGCCTGGTCCATTAGGCAAGGAAATCAGGGCCCAGAAGATGAAAGGAATTTTCAAAATGAGACTGGGGCAGCTTGGGCAGAACTGGAAATGGATACGAGGGTTCCTGTTCCTTGTATTTTGCTGTATCAGTTTTGGAGCTGAGCCACAAGCAAATAATAATACAGAATGAATGGCTATTGGGGACCTTAAAAAGTCACAAAATCAATTCTCTTCTTGGTGAAATGTCTAATTTTATTTCTAATAGAAAAATAATTGTATTACCTATTAAATCTGTAAAAAATAACTTGAAGGTTATGATCCACAGCTGAAATTCTCCTTTTATGTCAATTCACCAATATTCACAGTTTTGCTTGTTGGTTTGACTATTTACAGAAAGCCACTTGAAGAGTGCCAGCCCGAGGTCACCGAATGGATGAGTCAAATGTGACAGCGTTTGTCGACCAGGAGTCCCAGAATGCCTCGACCAGTAGGAATTCCTCACCTGGGAATGCACTGCCACACGTCCCAGTTGTGCACTGGGTCATTATGAGCATCTCCCCACTGGGCTTTGTAGAAAATGGGATTCTGCTCTGGTTCCTCTGCTTCCAGATGAGAAGAAATCCTTTCACTGTCTACATCACCCACTTGTCTATTGCTGACATCTCGTTACTCTTTTGTATTTTTATTCTGTCTATCGACTATGCTTTAGATTATGAACTCTCTTCTGGCCATTACTACACAATGGTCACTCTATCAGTGACTTTTCTGTTTGGCTACAACACAGGCCTCTACCTGCTGACAGCCATTAGTGTGGAGAGGTGCCTGTCTGTCCTCTACCCCATCTGGTACCGATGCCACCGCCCCAAGCACCAGTCAGCATTTGTCTGTGCCCTCCTGTGGGCTCTTTCCTGCCTGGTGACCACCATGGAGTACATCATGTGCATTGACAGTGAGGAAGACAGCCACTCTCGGAGTGACTGCCGGGCAGTCATCCTCTTCATAGCTGTCCTCAGCTTCCTGGTCTTTACCCCGCTCATGCTGGTGTCCAGCACTATCTTGGTGGTGAAGATCCGAAAGAACACATGGACCGCCCACTCCTCAAAGCTGTACATCGTCATCACAGTCACCATCATCATCTTCCTCATCTTTGCCATGCCCATGAGGCTCCTCTACCTGCTGTACTACGAGTACTGGTCCACATTTGGGACCCTGCATAACATCTCTCTGCTCTTCTCCACCATAAACAGCAGTGCCAACCCTTTTATTTACTTCTTTGTGGGCAGCAGCAAGAAAAAGAGGTTCAAGGAGTCCTTAAAAGTAGTCCTGACCAGGGCTTTCAAAGACGAGATGCAGCCCAGGCGCCAGGAAGACAGTGGCAATACAGTCTCCATTGAGACTGTGGTCTGAGGACTATGCAGGAAAGTGTGGGACACAGGTGACCTCTACTTTGTGCCCTTGGAATGCAATTTAAGTATTTTAAAATTTCCTTAAATGTGATTCAGAAGGACATTCATTCCATGAGATATGCATGAGATATAAATTAATGATGGGATCATGCTCTTGTCCTGTATCTTCTGGAAATGCCTAAATACGAGTGAGACCTCTGTCATTTCTATACTTATCAAAAACTGTACTTATCAAGAGCTCTTCTCTGTTCTCCTGGAGGTGTCTTAAAAAGAATCATATATTCTACCAGAAAGAACCATACATCTTCTCTTACAGATGTGACCAGGAATGACAACAAAAGTGTGTGCTGGAACTTGAAGAAGCAATGCAATGTAGGAGGAGGAAGAAGAGCTTTAGACTTGCCATTTGCTATCTTTATGATCGTATGCAAGGGGTTTAACTTTTCAGAGCCCCATTTCCTTATTTAAGAGATAGTAGCAGTACCAGTCTCAACCTCCCAGGGTTGTGAGAGTGAAACAGGAAGAAAAGTTGGCTAAGTACCTGGCACATTGTCAATGTTTAATAAACCTCCATCTCTAATCACTCATTTAAGTGGAAGACAAAAATGTTTATTTCTGTTTTATAAAGCACACATACATGTAGGTATGTGGACAGCTCTATCATGTACAAATATTATTCTGCGTTTTTAAGTGTTGAAGGTCTTTTTTTATGAAGGTCTTTTTTTGCTTTCAACATGAAAGATCTACATGGCACAACACCATGGTTGAAAACATTGGCAGATGTTATCATCTAGCCAACCATGGGTTCAAGAATCATTTCAGGAAGACAAACATTTGGCCATTTGGATCAGTGTGTCACATGGCTTCCCTTCCCTCCATGGGAACAGTAGATGGAATGAAAGTCTGTTTTGAAATCCTTTGATTGCATATACATTTCCACAAATACTACTAAATTCACAAGTTCATGTGGCAATTGGACTTTTGAAGACCTCCCCTTCTCCAAGTGGTGGGTTATTTATAATCACAAAGTCTTCCTTCTCCTATAACCCCATTCAAGTCTGCCACCTTTGCCTGCAGTGACTCATCCCTGGAAGGAGGCTCTGTGAGGCCAACAGGAATGCAGCCACATCCTGGAGGGACCTGAAAGTTTGTCAAGACAGATCTCTGCCCAACCCTGTCACATCTGGCTCCTCCTGTTCAGGGAACCAAAGATGGCACATCTGGGGGACAAGCACCACTGCTCTGCTGTCCAAGCAGCCCACGGGAATCATAAACTCAGCCCCAATAAAAAATTAGAGTGGCAAAGTGTAACAAAAGGAAGACACTTTATTTGTAAAGAGGAAAAGGAAGGGAGAGGAAAGGAGAAGATAGATCACTTCCCTGATAAGAAAGAATCAGGGTGGGGGTTCTGGGAGGTGGAGGACCCCTGGGCCCTTTGTTCCCACCTGCTTTTATGGGGAAATGAGTGACCTTCCTCTCTCCGCTTGGAACTTGCCATAACTGGATTGGCTTCTGGGCACTTCTGCCTAGTGTCACTTCTTCTGGTGGTCTATGTGCAGCTCCTTTTTGTCTATTTGTTTATTTGTCCTTGACATACATTTCAAGGCCTTATCTTTGGGGTGGGCAGCTAGTTGGCAAAGGGGTGCCTTATTCTTTGATAGCTTAGAGTTAGTAAAGGGGCATGTGGATATCTATTGTACCCTATAATGACCCTATAGTGAGTAAATAGTGACTAGAGTGAATACACGTGTATATATGTATATATGTTAGTGCATAGGAGTGAGTTTATACTGTCTTAAAGTTAGTCACCCCCCCCCACTTCCCCTGCATTTTATTGGAGGTGGGGGCAGCTTATTGTTTGTGGACTTAGCTTTTTCTCTGTCTCCTGACTGTCAGCTCTTTTTTCTGATCTCTTGGTGCAAGTCTCAAGGCCATTTGGTGCCTTTCTTTATCTGGTTTTTCTCTTTTTCTACCCCTGTCTTTGACTTGCTTCCCAGGGGAATCACTCTAGTAAAGTTTGTTCTTAACTCCTTCTAGTCAGGATTAGCTAGAAGACCTAAGAAGGCCGCTATTCTATTTTCTCATCTATAGACTCCTGTCCCTACAGCCCCTCAGCATCTTTGCTTAGCATTGGCCCAGTGCAAGCTCTCCCTCCTGTCTATCATAAGTTGCCATCAGAAGGTCTGGGTTGTAGCTGTGATGATGCCTGTTTTGGCCTGTAGATGACATACATTGCTATATGCACTTCCTTCTTTCCCTTCTAAATCCCATGAAACCGGCAATGCTTTATGTGACCCTTCATGTGAGGAAAATGTTCAAGTCCATAAATGAACTCATTAGTATTTATTTTAACTGTTTCTTGGAGATTCAGTAATGAAATAGCTCTTATATGGCTGCTTCTTCCATCTCCATCCTCTTCCTTTCTCAGAAGGAACAACTGCCTCTAACCATGGGGGCAACTTTGCCAGGGGAGATAGATGAGTCGTCCTACTGAGCTGGAACCCTGCTGCCAGCCAAGTTGTGCAGGAGGCTTTTTAGTAGGTGATGACATCTGATTCAGAAGCCCAGCAGCTTGTTTTCAGGAGCCCAGATGGGGTGTGGAGTGATGACATTTAGAACGATCTTGTGTTCTGTTGAAAACAGAGCCTCTTCCCTGAGAAAGAACAGAATCTGGAGACCAGAGTGGCTCCCCTCTGTTTCCCACTGTCTCCCCAATGCTGTGTGCTGGGCTCTGGGTTAGAAGAGGGGATTAACCTCATCTCTCATGCCCCAAGGGATTGTGTTAGATTTTTATTGCTGTAACAAATACCTGAGACAAATCAACTGATAAGAAGGATTTATTTTGGCTCATGCTTTCAGAGTTTCAGTCTGTGGTTGCTTGGCCCGGGTTCTTTGGGCCTGAGGTTGGTGGCACAGCACATAATGGTGGGGACATATGGTGGACGAGGCCTGTTTGCCTTACAGCATCGAGGAAAGTGAAGAGAGGAGATCCTGTGTCCCAATATCCCCCCAGGGACACAATCCCAAGGCCTAACTTCCTCCCACTCGCCCTTACCTCCTGAAGGCTCCACCATCTCCCAGGAGCACCAGGCTTTTAACACACGAGACTTCGGGGGACACTTTCAAAAACGTAGCAGAGATCTTGATCACAAAGAGTAAACTAAACACTATCGGAGACAAGGAAAATACAATGAGCTATTTGGAAGCCCCTATTTATTGCTTTCTTCCACAGAGAAAGTGGAGAAATTGAGTGCAATAATGAATACAAAAATTCTTCTAACCTTTTAAAGGGTAAGCCTTCAAAGAGGTAGGATTTGGAGTTTGCAAAGACAAATTCCTTTTTCTAAATCCACTTGCAGGAGCCGCGATTTAGCTCAGTGGTTTCGCAGCCTGCTGTGCAAGCACAAGGACCCGATCCCACGGTACCAAAAAAAAAAAAAGAAAAAAAGTGATCTTCTAAATCCATTTGGAAAATGAATTATAAGGTTAAAAAAGTAAAATAAAAGATCTAAATAAATTTGGAAATATGGAGAGAAGACTAGATAATTTGTACCCTTTGGGTTTTTAGAAAATTTGCTTAAATCATTGTAGGTTATTAGGTGCCATTTCTGAGAATGTAATGGGGTTGGGGAGGAGATTGTTCATATACTATACCTGTTTTTTTTAACTTATTTATCTTTTAAATAGCAAAACACATTTTAGGTGTACATAATCACACTTTTTATTTATTTTTTTAATGGTACTGGGGATCAAACCCAAGACTTTCTCACTGGGCTACATCTCCTTTTTTTATTTTTTATTTTGAGATAGGGTCTTGCTAAGTCATTAAATTGCTGAGGTTGGGCTCAAGCTTTTGATCCCCAGCCTCCCAGAGTGCTGGGATTACAGGCATGTGGCATCATGCCTGGCAGTATGCAGTACCTGCTCATGAGGAAGTTTTACAATCCCAAATCCACTCATTTATCACAAAGTGCCAATACTGCAATTAAACCTGATTACTGAGGTTTTAGTTTTAAAAAAAACTCTTACATTAATATCTTTTTTTTGGTAATGGGGATCAAACTCAGGACATCTTTTGTTTTAAGGAAAAACAACACACGTGCCATAGGTGTGCCTCAGCTGCTGAAGTAGCTGAAATTACAGTGATGCACTTCCACACCTGGCCCTCTGAGTCTTATCACAACCTCAAACTGATCTGCTCTGTAAGCTAACTCCTTAACTGTAGTTCATGTCCTTTTTCTTATTCCTGCTGGCCTGGGTTTCTATGCTACAGAGACCTGACATCCTACCACGGAGTATAAGACCCCTTCTGCATCATCTCTCTCCTTCCCAGTCAGTCCTCCAGTGTCCTTGGTTCAGTCACTCTCATGTGTTCCTTGACTTCCCTACATTCCTCCCTCAGCTGCCTGTGCTGCATACCAGGTTGTTGAGTGGTGTGGCAGGGCTACTCTTCCAAGATCTCTGTCTGGAGCCTTTCGCTCACTGTCGCTAGCTCCTATAATCTGTGCATGTATCACTGGAAAAAGAAAAGGCCACAAGGCATTAGCTCTCGGAGTCTCCTCACCATTTACGATGACCTGCTATACCACTCCTTTCTCTTTTCTGATTTTCCTTCTCTTTCACATTTCCCTGTGTCCACTGGACAACAGCACTCCTGGATTAGTAACAACAAGTGTTTAATTATATTGTGTGTGTGTGTGACATGAGATGCAAGGGAAGAACCCAGAGCTTTCACACTCAGTTACATGCCCAGCCCTTTTTAATTTAGTTTAATTTTTAAAATTTGGAGACAGAGTCTTGTGAAGTCACTGAATTGCCTAGGTTGGACTGGAACTTGCAGTCCTCCTGTCTCACCATCCCCCACCCAAAAAAACAAAGGACACTCTTTCTTCTGGGCTTTCGGCTTTGATATTTCTTCTACCTAGAAAGCCCTCTGCCTGGCTCACTAACTTCCTCTCTTTCCATAGCTTCTGGGAAAACATCTCTTCAGCAGCTCTTTTGGCCACTGGCACTGCCGAACACCCCTCTCCTGTCCCTGTTCTCAGCACTTGTCCTCATTGTCATGGTGGGTATTGATTTATTTGTGTGTCCTCCTTCTCTTCTCACTGGAACATAAGCTACTTAAGGCAGAGACTTAGCCTTGGTCACTGCTACAGCCCCAGCTTCTGGTGTCTTACCTGCTCCTTATCTGCCAGGGTGCTTGAACCCACTACTCCTCTCTCTGGGATATTTCTCTTGCACATACAGACAGGCTCCAGTGGTTTCCATCTTAAAATATAATTAAAAAGCAAAAGCCATTCCTTGCCCCTACAGTCCTGCTTGTCTTCTATCCTGTCCCCCTCCCTCCCTTCCAGACAACCTTCTGAAAAGACCCTTCCACACTCACCATTCTTACTTTCTCAGACACAGTTCATACCTCCAATATCCTATCAGCTGACTTGCCACAAGCCACCCTATTGAAGTTGGCCTAGCTAAGAATATGAGTGACTTCTCCATTGCCCAGTCCCATGTTGTCTTAGTCTGTTTTCTGTTACTGTAACAAGTACTCAAGGATGGGTAATTTATTAAAAAGTTAATTTTGGCTCATGGTTCTGGAGGCTGCAAATCCAAGACCATGCTGCTGGGTCTCATGGGGGCCTTTGTCATAACAAGGCAGAAAATGGAGAGCAATAGGCCACATGAAGGTGAGACAAAGCATGGGAGGTTGCCATGCTTTATAATAATCCACTCTCAAGAGAACAAACCCATTCCCATGAGGAAGACATAAATCCCTCTCAATGACCCCACCTCTGAATACCACCACCATGGCCATCAAGTGTCAACATGAGTTTTGGTGGGGACAAATCACATTTAAATCACAGCAAGTGGGCTCTTTTCTACCTAGTGTAGCATTTGACACAGTTGACCATACTCTTCTTGAAAATCTCTCTTTTTGGCTGGGTGTGGTGGCTCATGCCTGTAATCCCAGCACTTGGGAGGCTGAGGAAGGAGGATTACTATGAGCTCAGAACCAGCCTAAACTACATAGAGAGACCCTGTCTCAAAATAGAAAGAAAGAAAATATCTCTCTTCTTAGATTTTATTTTGCTACTTTAGCTCTCGTGTTGAATCCTTTCCTACTAAGTTGGAATCTTGTCTCCTTCACTGCTCATTTTCTGCTTCTCCCTTAAATGGCCATGTTTTCCATGATTCAGTGGCTGGGCCTCTGCCCTTCTGAACATTCTCCCTGGCATCCCAATCCATGAATGCCTGTGTGTTAATGACCCTCAAATCTGCTGGACCAGAACACTTTGCTGGGCTCCAGTTCTATTTGCTTCGATGCCCTGTAGGTGCA